CCACTCGGTGTATATAATAATCCGGCCACTCGGTGTATATAATAATCCGGCCACTCGGTGTATATAATAATCCGGCCACTCGGTGTATATAATAATCCGGCCACTCGGTGTATATAATAATCCGGCCACTCGGTGTATATAATAATCCGGCCACTCAGTGTATATAATAATCCGCCCACTCAGTGTATATAATAATCTGGCCACTCAGTGTATATAATAATCCGGCCACTCGGTGTATATAATAATCCGGCCACTCGGTGTATATAATAATCCGGCCACTCAGTGTATATAATAATCCGGCCACTCGGTGTATATAATAATCCGGCCACTCGGTGTATATAATAATCCAGCCACTCAGTGTATATAATAATCCGGCCACTCAGTGTGTGTGTGTGTGTGTGTGTGTGTGTGTGTGTGTATATATATTTGAGACTGCACCTTCTCTTTTAAGGACATCCTCAGATCCACACGGTGACAAGTCCTTGTTTGTGTTTTCTCTTCCAGTCCTGTCAGATGTTCTACCAGGTTTGTCATGAGGCTGTCCAGCGCCTGGTCACCTACGGGATATTCTTGGTAGCCGAGGTAACTGGCACAGAACGCTCGTGTGTAAATATTTCCTGGAGAGCTTTGTTCTTTTCTAGATGGCAAAAAAAACATGGAACCCTTCCCCCCATCCCCTCCCCCCCATGATGTGTGACAATTGTCCGCTAAGAACTAAGCCAATCAGCGGCACAGTGAACGAGCACCCGTCCAGAGTGCTGACCCGGGGCAAAGAGTCTACCAAACAGAATCCTCAGTAATCAGCTGAATATCAAATTAAAAAAATATACTAAATAAAATGTAGTTATAAATACAACAGAGACATTAAACCGAACGTCTGCGTTTGTAAAATGGACACATAACCAAACCAGCAACCCTAAAATTAAGGTAACGAAAGTGGGTTTTTTTAACCGATGGAAGATAGATCCTAAAAAACTTTAACATAGTATTTAGTAGGGATGCACCGATACTAGTATTGGTGCCGATACCGAGTATTTAGGTAAGTACTAGCGTCCAAATGCTCCGATACCTTCCCCCGACACCGGAACTTCCGGCCAGAGGGAGATTTCCTCTGACCGGCAGTGCCGTGAGGGAACATGGAGCACGGCTTCCCGGGCAATCAGGAAGGCGGGCGGCGGGTAATGAAGCTGGCTCCATGCTGATTGACAGGGAAGCCGGCTTCCCGGCCAATCCGCTTCGAGCCGGCCAAACAGCATGGAGCCGGCTTCCTGGCCAATTTGCTTTGAGCCGGCCAAACAGCATGGAGCCGGCTTCCTGGCCAATTTGCTTCGAGCCGGCCAAACAGCATGGAGACGGCTTCCCGGGGCAATCAAGAAGCCGGGCGGTGGGTAATGGCACGTCATCCGCCTTCCTGATTGCCCGGGAAGCCAGCCCCATGCTAGCGGAAGTACCGGTATCGGTACTCTGTATTGGCGAGTACCGAAAGATAAATATCGGTACTTGTACTCGATACCGAAAAACCAGTATCGGTGCATCCCTAGTTTTTCGGACACCTCTTATATCCAGCTCCTTTCCTCCTTGCCGCCAGCAGTCAGAAATGCTGCCACCCCTTTGTAGAATGACACCCACGGATAGTCTGCAAGTGTCGTGGGGAGTAAGCAAATTGTTACATTGTGTTTTTCTCTTTTGTTCATTGGTGGACCAAAGGTGTGACCCTTCAACTGCATATAACAGTAGACCTTACAAGTTGATTTTGGTTAATATATTACCATTTAACCCTTAGTTAGCCCTAATCAGCCCTAATTAAATCCTTCCTCCCCTTCACTCCTTAGTTTTTTTTAATTTTTCTGATTTTTTTATTTTTTTTGCGTTCACAAGAAAAATAGCAAAATTAGAAAAAAAAAAATGCTTTTCTTTCATTTTCAATGAACTGTGCCAAGCTCTGTACCAGAAACATGGGACGGGGACACATTAAAGAATAAAATGTATATTTTTCTATTTATAGTAAATTACCTTTTTTACTTTTTAAACGAATATGGGTTCAAACTGAAGAGAACACATTTGTATTTATTTTTTCCGGGATATAGATTCCATAAAAAAGAAAATAAGTTTTACCAAACAATATTGAAAAAAGAAAACGACGTCCCCCCCCC